ACACTATAGCTCGAATCTCGGTCAAAGGCGGCCTCCCGATGACGAGATTGAAAGATGAAGCCATCTTTACTACCAGGAATCTGACTGAGGGTGTTACATACGTCTGTCCGGAACCAAACGCCACGTTGAGCCGCAGCACTCCTTCCACGGGTACTGGCTGGTTATTGAACCCGTAGATGGGCCTGTCATACTTTTACAGAAGGGCGGGGTCGAGTCCAAGGCTCTCGAAGCAATGGTAATACATTATATTTGGAGCACTGTCGGTGTCAATGAGCGCTTGTTGGACCTCACAGTTGTTAATGATAACCGAGGTGACTAATGGATCGTTGTGGGGTGTGACGACCCCCTTGAAGTCGGCCGAAGTGAATGTCACAGACTGGTTTTTCCAATCCTCCCCGTCGATCTTTCTTTTCTGGGCTGCATTGTGGTGCCTAACCTCTCTCACGTACAGCTTCTGTTGCTTGGAGCTTGTGCCACCTGCTTCGGGTCCGCCGATTATCATGTGAATAACTCTGGATGGGGGTGGAAGAGGTGGTGGTGTTTGTTGGTATCCTACTCCATCCCTGTTGTTTGCTGCTCGGGATCCCTGGGCTTGTCCTTGTTCTTTGACAAACTTCTACAAATTTCTGTTTTGGATGTATTCATTCAACATCCCCTTTTGGGCCAAAATTTCCAGCTCGGACTTCAAACTGTGGCAATCTTCCGTGGTATGTCCGTGATCTTGGTGAAAGTCATAGTATCTGGTGTGGTCTCTGCTTGCCGCTGGGCTTTGTAGGGGGGCTGGTCTCCTCAGCTCCATCTTATTCTTGATTTGCATGAGAATTTGTGACCTCAAAATTGTGAAGGAGGTCCATGAAGGTGGCCTAGGCCGCGTTTCCGGGGCGCTGGAGTCGGGCCTGTCTAGCTTGGGAACCGAAATTGGGCCTCGGTTTTGTGTGGGTTTGAACTTCTTTCTGCTTTGGCCTCCTTCTCTCCAGGCGGGAGTTCTAGCTTCTTTGGGGGGTTGGGGTTTGGAGAGAACGCACTCCTCGACCTTAATGAACTTAAGGGATCTCTGATTGACCTCGTCAAAAGTGGTCGGGGTGTGCTTGATCAAGTTATCTCGAAATCGATCATGGTTGAGGCCTTGTATCACGGCGGTTATTCCAACTGCTTCGTCGAAGGCATTGACCTCCAACATGGCATCATTGAACCTGTTCATGTAGTTCTTCAAGGATTCGTCATCTCTTTGTGTTATCCGCATGAGCTTGGGTGTCGTCTTTTTAATCAACCTTCTGCTTGAGAATTTGGTGGCAAAGGAGGTGGCCAGCTCGGCATATGCATTAATCGAGTTCGGACGCAGGGTGTGATACCAAGTCCGAGCATTGCCGCGCAATGTGGAGGGGAACATCTTGCACATGAGCGCGTCTGAGGCGTTTTGAGCCTGCATGACGGAGAAAAATGCATGTAAGTGGTCATCAGGGTCTTTAGTGCCATCATATGTTTCAAACTGTGGCATTCTGAAATCGGGTGGATATGGCTCTTAGGTAATTTTGGTATTGAGAGGAGTGGGGATGGAGGTTGATATAGGTGGGGTATGTGGTTGTGGGTTTTTGTTCTCGGCTAACAGCTTTTCTATGTTGTCTAGCCTCTTTGAGACATCTGAGGCAACTGGTTGAGGCGGGTTTTGGGGCAGGGGTGGCATGTGGGATTGTGCTTGGGAAGCAGTCGGGGCGACACTACAGACTGGGGAGTTGGTAGGCTGTTGAGCTGGTTGGGGGGCCACGAGAGGAGCTGGGTTTAGTAAGTGGATAAGTGGATCAGCGAGGTTATCTCTGGCTAACAGCTGGGCGAGCACTAGCTGGAAGACCCCGAATTGTTGTTGCATGGCATTGAGTTGAGCGGTTACAGGGTCGCTTGCTACAGCGTTGGGATATTGTGGATTATGTTCCTCAACTCCTTCCACCTGCTGATGTTGGGCGGCTGCAATCGGTACATTCTGTGACACGAGGTTGACACTTGGGGGCTGGCCTCTTCCTTGGCCTTGGGGAGGACTCCCGCGCTGGGTTGTTCGTGTGTGTACCATCTTAACTTCTAGCGATGACTTTTGTTCGTTTTCCCACAGACGGCGCCAATGTAGTTGCTGAATATCCTTGAGTTTCCGCTTCGAGTTGATCCTTCTCCAAATGGTCCTACAAGATCCCGAGGTTGGTCCTCGGGGAGAAACTCCGATGCTTAAGTTAGTTTTTTTCTAATAATGTTTTTCTTTTTGTTTCGCCCCTTTATCGAACCTTACCTTGTGGGCTTTGTCCATCTTAGCAAGGCACCCACGTGGCTTGTCCGCACCCACGTGGCTTGTCCGCACCCACGTGGCTCAGTCAATCCAATAATGGTGACATAGTGCGCCTGACGGAGTAGACGTTTTAGGTGAATGCAATGTGCCTTAACGGAGTAACCGCATTAAATACGCGTGGTGTATTCTGACGGAGTAGGTCCCTTGAGAAAGGGTGTTCTGGTAGGGACAAATGATCAGATGAGGGCATGCCTATTGTGGTTGCCATACACTTTCGGCAAGATGCCGAGGTGCGGTAAACTCTGAGTCCCACAGCCGAGGTGCGGTGATCTCCGATCTTTGTCTTGCGTGTTTTCTAGTATAGCTGCCCTTACAACAACCATAACCATAAATGAAAAAGGGAATGCAATAAAAGAATAGAGATATTGCTTTCCCTTTTTCTCCTTCAGCCTAAATACTTTTCAGCTTTTTCATGGCAAAGGAAACTTGAAAATTAACAATCCTTTCTTTACGTTCCCCACCACCAAATCATTGTACCATAATAATGGAATGAGAATATTATTCCACCACCTCGTTTTTTCCGAAGGAATGATACGTGCAACAACCATAACCATAAATGAAAAAGGGAATGCAATAAAAGAATAGAGATATTGCTTTCCCTTTTTATCCTTCAGCTTAAATACATTTCAGCTTTTTCATGGCAAAGGAAACTTGAAAATTAACAATCCTTTCTTGACGTTCCCCACCACCAAATCATTGTACCATAATAATGGAATGAGACTATTATTCCACCACGTCGATTTTTTCCGAGGGAATGATACATACAACAACCATAACCACAAATGAAAAAGGGAATCCAATAAAAGAAGAGTAATGATACGTGGGACGATTTTAAGGAACAAAATCACGAGACGACAAGTGAAGCAGTCCCAACAGCAATTATCAATTTAATCCTGCTTCACTTGTCGTCCCGTGGTTTCGTCCCTCAAAATCGTTCCGCGTATCATTACTCATAAAAGAACAGAGATAAATTTATCCTTCAAAAAAAATATAAAGATAAATTATTTATTTAAATTATAAATTGAGATAAATCACTTATTTTTTAATATGTGATATTAACATTTCATTAAAAAATACTTACGTGATAAAAAAAATTCTGACATTATATATTAAAAAATAAATAATTTATTTCAATTTATAATTTATAAAAATAATTT